GGGTCATTTGACCATACTTCACCACGCTGGTCAGTTCGGGTTTGTGGATGCGGGATGATAGCATAGATGTGGGAGCAAATGAAGTATAATACAAAATACATATATATAAATACATATATGTATTTTGTGTATTACAGTTATTATTGTACATCCTTCGTTAGATTAAAGCAAATCTAATATATATTTACATCTTTAGTTTTTACTCAAGGCTTTACGCATTAAAATTCTCTAAAATTGATTAGTTTTTTTTTTTTCGCAATGGACAATTGCGTCAGCAGCTAATATCATACTTTACCAACCTGCATTGACGAGCGCGGTGAAATATGATCAAACAACAAATATCCCCCATATAGCCTGAACAGACTGTTGGGGTAAGTGCTGTTAGCGAGTAGCACCTGTGAATGCCAGCACGGCACACGAGGGGGTGGGTGGCTAACACGACGCCCGGCCGCCTTTGTCTCCCGAGTGGCGATGGTTACTACACACCGCACCAGGTTACTCATTGGAGGTTTGAGTCGACCGAGGGGAGGCCCAGGACCGGTTCATATAACCGTCATTGGACTTGGTGGCCGCGAGCGGGAATCGAACTCGAGTCGCCGGGTTCGTAGCGCAGCGCGCTGACCGCTGCACTACAACCCACATGAGCGACACGACGTGGAGAGGCAATCATCCAGCAGTGGATTAACAAAGAACCTTGAGTTGTACTTCCGTGTGCTTGTGGTGGCTAACAAGTGACATGGCTCACAAGTAATTCCCTGCTGTGCCACGCTGTGTTAATTACACAAGCGTGGTGGCTATTTGACCATATCTCTCCTTGGTTCTTTCGGTAAAGTCACGTAGAATGGAAATAATAAAATAATAAAATTTAAACATAATAAAATAATGACGTCATTCAGACTCTGTCTACTCGACAGACCTGCTCTCCACCTGAGGACGGCTGCTTGCGTTGTGGCCGAAACGTCGTGAGAATTATTTTATTATGTTTTATTTTTTTATTTTATTATTTCCATTCTACGTGACTTTACCGAAAGATCCAAGAAGACGAATCCCTGCAGTCACGAAAGCTTTAAATCGATATTTTACCATACTTCACCCACGCCGATCATCAAACTCGTTACCGAGGATATCTAAAACTAAAAACGTAACTTTTTAGTTTTTATACCAGGTAAGAAGCGACCTGGCCACAAGTGATAGCTCAAACGAAGCGGCTTATCGCGCGGAAATTTACGGCAACCAAAATATCCGTGGTCTTGAATCGAACTCAGGTGGCCGTGTTGGATAGCGCAGGAAGCCAAAACCACCACCGCTCTGCCCACCCCCCCGGCTAATCTCACTGCTATCGCGAAACAACGCGCAGTGCTCGACACTTCGCGTGCGCTATTTGGGCTGGAGCGGTGGGAACAAGTCGTGTTATCGCACTGCGCTGTGAATCTGGTTACCCGAGTTCAATTCTCGACCACGGTCAAAGTTACGACGGGAGTGCAGGCGTGTGATTTTAAACCACTCGTGCGTGTCGCTCTCTCTCTCTCTCTTCACTAACCCCGCACTGTCCATCGTGGTGAAGTATGGTCAAACGAACAAAGACAAAACTCCACCGTGTAGCCTTAACAGACTGTTGGGGCAAATGCTGTTAGCGAGCGCCTGTGAAGGCCGGAACAGCACACGAGGGAGGGGGTGGGTGGCCACCACCACGCCCGACCGCCTTTGTCTCCTCAGTGGCGATGTTTACACACCGCACCAGGTACTCGCTTGAGGCCGAGCCGACTTTGGAGAGGCCCAGGGCCGGTTCTACCACGACCACCCCATGGCCATCACTTTCATCCCACGCAGGGCTGCACATCATGACTGCGATTATTGCAATTGGCGAATGTGAATTGGTGAATGTGGATTGTAAGGTCGCATTGTAGGAGATATAGAGTAGTCGTGGTGGGGGTGGGGGGGGCAACCGGCAGACAGACGGCGGCCCTGGAGGACGAGCAAGGCCGAAGCTGCACGAGGCGCGTGTTTATTGATCGGCCGCAGGACCCCGAGATACTTTTTTTGGTCCCGGAATGCGCGTGGCTTGAGTGGCGTGCGGTGAGCCACGCGTTGGATCGTGTCCCGCTGCTTGTGAAATGCCGACCCGTAGAAGACCTATACTCTTAGTTTTTTCGGTAAAGTCACGTAGGTAAAAGAAAATTAAATGAAATGTATTCTTTTATTTTTATTAATTTTAATTTAATTTTTTTACCTACGTGACTTTACCGAAAAAACTAAGAGTATGAATCCTTGCAGTCACGAAAGCTTCAAACGTAGAAGACCTCCCTGGGCTTGTACATAAGCACACTCAGTGTGGCTTCCTGGATAAATACACCCGTCGTGTGTAAGGCACATCCATGATGAGTCAGTCAACTGATATGTGAGGCCCTACCCACGCCGTGCGGTTCCTGGGGGGATTTTATTTGACCATACCTCACCACGCTGGTTTGATCTCCCACGAAGCACATGGTCCACCCAAAATCACATCGACTGCACAAACCATTGCCAGAAGTTGCGGATTCCCGATGCACAAATGGAAAATTAAAAACCTTCCATTCCCGATCGCCTAATACGAAGGAGACATCACACCGTTACACTCCGCTATTGCTGACGCGGCGATCTGTGATGGACCACCTGAATGTTAATTTTGATTTGTTGCCCTGCGTCTACATCAGCAGCCGCACGAAATAAGAAGACTGCTGAATCAGCCCCCCCGCCCGCCACCCCTAAACTCGACCAATCGATTTACCATACTACAAATGTTACCCAGGTAACAGTACAGATGTGTCTTCTTGGTTCTTTCGGTAAAGTCACGTAGAAGGGAAATAATAAATAATTAAAATAAAACATAATAAAATGTATGTTTCGTGACTGCAGGGATTCATCTTCTTGGTTATTTTGGTAAAGTCACGTAGAAGGGAAATAATAAAATCATAAAAATAAAACATAATAAAAAGTATGTTTTATTATTATTTTATTATTTAAAATAAAACATTAACTTCTTAATGTTTTATTATTATTTTATTATTTAAAATAAAACATAATAAAATGTATGTTTTATTTTTATTATTTTATTATGTTTTATTTTTATTATTTTATTATTTCCCTTCTACGTGACTTTACCAAAAGAACCAAGAAGATGAATCCCTGCAGTCACGAAAGCTTTAAATCCATGTACAGATGTGGCGCAGGTATTCATTCGTCGCGTTTATTTCACCGGGCGTGGACCCGTTTCGACCTGAAGTGTCTCTCTTGCGAGAGTGGCCTGGGTCAACAATTTTGTCCGCATCGCGGCGGAGAACGCAGCATGACGGAGCTTCAGGCACCAACTCGAGGCGTCCCTTTGTACGTGATCGACACAACGAGGTGGTGGTGTTTGAATCATTCAAGATATATTTGATTACTTTCATTCATCTGGCTGTCGTCTGATGAAGCTAGTTGTAATTACTGGCGAAACGTCGTACTCAGTTTGTAAATGTTGTGGCTTGGCTCTCCAACACACCGGCGTGCTGTACTAGTGACGAATTGGCCACGTTCTGTTTACGTGACAACCCTTATTAGTTGGCTGTGTCGGGTGGTGGCGGGTTTTAACGACACATTTATATATTTACGCGATCTAACCCAAACACATCTATTATGGATGATATTGGTCGCGAAAGCCTACGTGTTAAACTACTTTCATTCGATCTTTCTCTTTCGTCCATGTAAATAGCACATTGAGCACAGGACACTTATGTACCGTAGCGGTGGTTAGCACGCTGCGTGATAAACTCGGAGACCTAAGTTCGATTTCCGACGACGGATACGTGAGATGCGAAATAAGTTCAGCATAGTACGTCATCGGTAACGCATTCTTTTTTGCGTTAAACGCATTTAGCTTTCAAGTGTTAATGCACAATAACCCAAATTATATTGTTCATAAAGCAGCATACACAAAATAATGGCGGGTGTCATGACAAAGATATTCTAGTTCAAAGGTATTAATTCGCCTATGTTGTGCACGTGTGTGAATTGTGTGTATTTCACACCATATTCAGTAACATATATGTATACATATATACAGTATACACATCTCCATATCAGGGCGCGCTTTCATCTGACAATGGGACCTTATCGTTAATTACGTACGATTGTCTATGCGCACAGCGTGGTAAAGTATAGTCCAGCACAATCCTACTACCGACTACCTGATGAGACGTCTTGTGTGGAAACCGCTCCAGAGTTTTTGTTCGTATTGATTGAGCTCTGCTGAAATTACGCACTCCCAGACCAGGGCCGTATTAGAAATCCTTCATGTGTTTTGTGCGTGTGGGCAGACGGATACGTACAGACACATTTACGCTAGTGCCGTAGTGAAGCGGTTAGCGCTGCGCTACGAACCCGGCGGCTCGAGTTCGATTCCTGCTCACGGCCAACATCGGTGACGATTACCTGAACCGGTCCTGAGCCTCCCCTAAGTTCGACTCAGCCTCAAATGAGTACTTAGTGCGGTGTGTAGCAAACATCGCCACTAGGGAGACAAAGGCGGTCGGGCGTGGTGCTGACCACCCACCTCCCCGTGTGTCGTTCCGGCCTTCATAGGTGCTCACTCACAGCACTTCCCCAACAGTCGCTTAAGGCTATACGGGGGATCTTTGTCTTTGTTTTTATATGTTGCTGATTTTACTTTGCCTACTGCCCGACAACAAACAGCCGTGCGTCGTAGCCGTGGGTTGACAAACAAAAGGGCTGATAAAGATCGCCTTCGTTACAGCGCCCGCTATCCCATCGCCATTGTATGCGCGGGTCTGGCAGATATATGTCTAAGCCGCGTCACGACTCGCCACAATCGCGGGAGAAGTTCATCCCCGGATAGACAACTGGCTGGGGGGTGGTGGTGGGAGGTGAGCAGCCGGAGGAGGAGGAGGAGAGTCGGGTGGAAGAAGGGGGGGGAGGAGGGTGGTTCGGATTATGAAGCGCAGGCGAAATAAAAAATAAACATCAGCCAATAGAAGAAGGGGCGAGGGAGCAACTCTGCTGGTTGTTGGCTTTCTTTGCGAGGACGGAAGGAAACGAGCGCTTTCAACTCCGCCTCTGAGCGGCTGCGCGCGCGCGCGCTACAGAAGCAGCGCACCGCGACTTGCGTGGTGCCCCGCGCGCTCACAACAACCGCTGGCGCGGCACGGCTCCTCGCTCGCTCGCTCGCTCGCCCGACGACAACAACAACAACAACACAGCCAACGGGGTGACGAGCTGGAGGAGGAGGCGGTGGTGGTGGTGAGTGTCAGAGCCAAGTGAGGTGAGGCGAGGAAGGAGAGTGAGGGGGGGACGGGGAAGGATTTGACCCTCCGCCGGCTCCCATCCCGTCACCACCCGGGGCATCGTTCGCCCATCGCCAGTCGGGACGACTCCCCCCCCCCCACACACCCCCTCCCCGGGGTTGAGCACGGCCATGCAGTTCCCGCACGCGTCGCCTCCTCCCGCGCCGCTCCGCGTGCCGCTGTACGCGCCGACCCCGGTGCAGGTGGCCCACCCGACACCCTTCTTCATCGAGGACATCCTGAGACGCGACGGCGTGGGCTGCGCCAGCGGCGCCGACGAGCGCGCCAGGAGGCGTCCTTCCCAGCCGCCTCTGCCGCCGCTCCAGAGCTCGCCACCGGGGGCCCCTCCGGCCGCGGCCGCCACCCTGCACCCGTCTCCCAACTCGTCCTTCACGTCCGTGACGCCCGGCTACAGGAGCGCGCCCGTGACCTACGGCGAGATGACCGCCGTGTCGGGCCACCACGCGCACGCGGCCGCTGCCGCTGCTGCAGCCGCTGTGGCCGCCGGGTACCCCTCGCACGGGCAGCCGCTCGCCTACGCGGCCACCCTGGGCTTCCCGGGACACCTGTACCCCTACCCGCGCACGGCGCTCGAGTTCGGGCATCCTTTGCTGGGTCGGCACGACCACCTCGGTGAGTCTCGCCTAACCCCCCTTCCTCTCTCTCCGCCTCTCTCCCCTCCCGTGAGATCGAAACTACAACTCAACTATTATAGCTTTTTTTTTTAGTTTAAAGCAGATAAAGCCCACTGAGCTATAATATGGATATTTTTCAGAAGCGACCTTGACCACAAATGATAGCTCAACGAAGTGGCTTATCACGTGGAAATGTTTCGCGGCAGCCAAACACTCTCAACGTGTGATGTTGATTCGAATTGTGGAAGGAAAAACCGGAAGACCCGGATAAAAATCCACGCGACCACGGGAAGAACACGCAAACTCCGAATATACAGGCATCGTCAGGGTCGAGGTCGAACCCACGGCCTCCTGTATACCAGGCGAGGTAGTTAACGTCTCACCATCGTGGCGCCCCAAGGAGAGCGCCTACGTACGAAATCGGAATCAGAACCTCCATTTAGACGGGAGGAGGAGGAATCTGATGAGCTATGAAGCTCTTTCGTCACAGACGCCCAGTATTTTTCACAGACGTCGAGTAAACGAAACCGGGAATGCGCGTGTTTAGATGATGCTGCCACAGCGGTGGAAACACACCGGACTTGCAATCCACACAGAACGCGTGCCGCGGCCCGCGACTAACACATTAGATGCACCGAGCGTGTGAGATGGAGGGGTGTCGTTGGTAGTGTACGACAACCAATCACCCTTTGAGCGGAGGATTTGAGCCTGGCGAGAGAGCACCTCGCTTGGGTCACCGCTGCGAGGTGTGGCCAGGCGATGGCAGTGCCGAGTGCTGATCCTCGTGTTGATGCTGCTGCTGTCCCCTTCGTTTGCGTGATGGGTTTTCTCCGTTTGCGTGATGGGTTTTCTCCGTTTGCGTGGAAGGGTTTCTCCGTTTGTGTGATGGGGTTTCTCCGTTTTCGTGATGGGGGTTTCTCCGTTTGCGTGGAGGGGTTTTCTCCGCGATCTTGGGGGGGGTTTCGTCCCACCACGAAGCCCCCAGACAGGAATGGGAATTGGCCAGAATATCGGCAAAGCGGTAGGAACCCGCCCTTGAAAGCGAGACTTAAGCCTCATGTAGATATTCTTAAGTACAGTATAATTTATACATATATACACAGTACTGTATATATATGCAGTATCATTACAACTGGTCCTGGGCCTCCCCTGGATAGTTAAACAGAACTGTGTCTATAAGTAAAATATCGATAAGAATGTATGCATTTATGTAGCATGTATGTATGTATCATGTATGTAGAACTCCCTCCGCAAATGAGTTTTCAATCTCGATATAAAAGTGCATAGCTCCAGTGGCTTCCTAACATCAGAAGGAAGAGCGTTCCAGACGGCCGCAGAAGCCGCAAATGACACCGTGGCCGGTTCCTATTGGGATACGCCCGGCTACAGGGGACACCAGTCACGAATATCTGAATCGGTCCTGGGCCTCCCCTAAATAGACTCTGCTTCAAATGAGCACAAGGTGCGGTGGGTGTATACACATCGCCACTAGGGAGACAAAGGCGGTCGGGCGTGGTGCTGGCCACCCACCCCCTCGCCTTCATATGTGCTACTCGCTATACGTTAACGATGTAAAATCTTTCTTTTCGCGTTCCATGTCGGAACTCTGTCGCCGATGGAGTCGTCGCGCGCTGCGACTCACGGCGGATTTTGCTTCATTCCAATTAGCGCAGCTGGTGACGGATCTCTGATTGGATGAGTTGTCACGTGCAGCTCAGTTGTTGATTGATCACATTCCCGCGATTATAAGTTCATTGAGAAGGGTCATTGTCCGAAGCGTCGCCTATTACTCGATACACTCTCTCCTTTGGCCACGGCGTTATTGACGGATGCGTTTTGGACGGCATCCGTCACGCGCAGCTTATTTTGACTTAGAACGAATTCACTGTGCGCTAAACGCATGCAATCGACCAGATACATAGTATGTGTACTCGCGCGCGCGCGCGTGTGTGTGCGTCTTATTAGCGGGAGGTAGCGGAGAGCGGTGGTGAAGCGGTTAGGGCGTTGCGCTACGAACCCGTCGACCCGCGTTCGACTCCCGCTCACGGCCACTACCACCAGTGACGAATATCTAAATCGGTCCTGGGCCTCCCTGAAATGGACTCTGCTTCAAATGAGCCCAAGGTGCGGTGGGTGTATACACATCGCCACTAGGGAGACAAAGGCGGTCGGGCGTGGTGCTGGCCACCCACCCCCTCGTGCACCGTGCTGGCCTTCATAGGTGCTACTCGCTATACGTTAATGATGTCAAATCTGCCTTTTCGCGTGTAGAGATAATATATCACCTTAAAAACAAACGGCTAATTTTTCATGATCTTTTTTAAATTAGCAAATTATATGACTTTGTTGCGTAAGTTTTGTAAGCGTGGTGGGACCGGATTGTCAACAGATGCAGTGATTTTTAAGACGGTACTTATTTTAATTAGGCAATTAATTAGGCAATTCAAATATCCGATGTTTTTATTTCATTAGTAGAGCCCATGCCGGTTCACCTTGGCATTGGCTTTAAAGTCTCAATTCGCTATTACCTGGGTATCATTACATTTGCAGTCTAATTGGAAGATATTTATCCAATATTGTAAACACGGCCTTAATACATTTTTTAAAAACCCTATAAACATTAATCCCGTCGGTTGTATCCCATCGGTGAAACTGTTAATTCTGAACATATTCTGCATTACATCTTATTGAGCTGCATGACAGCATATTCGCTGTGATGGTAGAGTGGTGGCGCAGTGGTTACTGCACTGCGCTATGGACCCGGTAGATTTGGGATTTTCCGGTCACGGCGAGTGGATGTCTCCAATCACCAAACACTCGACGGTGACCAGCAGAGTGAAGTATGGTCCACAACAACCCCCCCCCCCCCCCGCGTGGATCGACGGCACGGCTTGTGGATCGGCCTTCATTCAACATCCAAGCAATGGATTGAAAAAGAGATTTTCATCTTCTGAAAATATTACGGTGTCATGTGTTTACAGTTAAGTAATATACATTGGTTTATCGTCCGTATCACACTTTGTAACGTGGTGAGACTGACTGGGTTTTAAAGTACGGACGGCAATGCAAGGTGGTCGCATCTCTCTTAAATCATTATAATTATTATAATCGTTCGTAGTGGGATATATTGAGAGCACATATTCACGACCCGACGTGAGAGCCTTCCAATAGTAGCAAAGACAAAGATCCCCCGTATAGCCTTAACAGACTGTTAGGGCAAGTGCTGTTAGCGAGTGTCTACGACGGTGGGAACAGTACACAAGGGGATGAGTGGCCAACAACACGCCCGGCCGCCTTTGTCTGCCCAGTAGCGATGTTTTTACACATTGCACCAGGTACTCATTTGAGACTGAGTCGACCTAGGGGGGGCCCAGAACCGGTTCAGATAATCGTCACTGATGTTGGCCGTGAGCGAGAGTCGAACTCTGGTGGTTGGGTTGGTAGCGTAGCGTAGCGCTACCTGCTACACTACCTCTGCAATAGTGGCGGCACGGTAGGTGCATATACATCTATATCTAAGACTGGTTTTATTGGTGTCAATAAGCCCGGCTGTCGATGGTGCAAAACATTGAAGTGACTGTGAAAACAGGAATCATATGTTGAATTCAGACAGCGGTTAACCGCCGCGATTGCCCTGTACCTAAATGGCGTGGACGATAAGTTCACGTGAATGCGGAACTCGGCGTGCGCTGGATAGCGGGTATCCAACTCATCTCGGGTGTTTCCACTTCTTGAGTTGAGGCAGCGTATCAAACAATGGGTCAGACGCGCATTCGTGTGCGTTCAGCCAGAAATGAAGGGAAATCTGAGCAAAAGTGACAATCTTTCCACGAATGCACACTGGGGTTACGAAGTTCAAATTGCGTGTTGCTGTTTCTTGGTATTGCGACTCTTTGGTGAGCGCACTGTGCTACGAACCCCGCGCCATAGGCTAGAATCCCCGGCCACAGCTCACAAAAAATGGGTTAATGATTCCTGCAACTGGCCCCGAATGGGAACCGTCTATCTGTCGCGTCACTGACCTGCGCGGTGAAGTATGGCCAAACATCCCCCATGACCGATATTCAAAAGTGAATTGAAAAAAACGGGCTTTTTCAACGCGCATTCATTTCAAGACTACAACTGTGGCAATGTAATTTAAATGACGTGTTCGTATACAGTCCACATCATGCACTTACATTTGCCTATTCTATATATGTGATATGGTTATATATTTTTACATTTCAACACGAGATGCCTCGCATGATTACCACAACTGGAAAACTTAACATTCTAGCGAAACAGGTACTGGCCAAACCAACTCAGTTATGCCAGCCTCTTTTAAAATATATTGCTGCGACCCAGTGAGTCTTGTACTGCTCAATACAGGACCTGGTTTAGAGAGGTCTGCGTGTATCAGAATCTGAATATATATTTATCCAGGAGGAATCCTATGAGCTATAACGCTCGTTTTCACGGCTGTCCAATTTAGGGTATTTGGCTGCTATAAATGTCCACGTGATAAGCCACTTCGTTGAGCTATCATTTGTGGCCTTGTCGTTTCTGAAAAAAAGCTACGATATATAACTCAGTGGGCATTACCTGGTAAAATAGCTTTTAGTTGAGTTCGCACGGTTGTGATAGAAGGTAGAAGCGGCAGCGGCAGCTTTAAAATACCTTCATCCAGCCGTGGATTGATAATGAGTGACAGTAAAATCATCCAATATGCATTCGTTCTTCACACCACCCATTCATATTGATAAGTGAGCTGTAGGGTTTTATTGTGTGCAATTCGCGCTAGCGGCGGTTGTAAAGTTTATATAAATGCATGGCTTTAGGACGGGTACAACACGGGTACGTTGCGTGAAATGTGATTTATTCTTCGGGGATGATTCAAATTGCACGCAGATAAGAATGCCACTGTGGCCGTGTTACATTCAGGCGGCACGAATGAAAAACGATACCTCAACTCGCGGCCCTTAATCAAACACGTGGTGGGAAATGTATCTCATCAATACA